GTGAAAACGTGTCAGGATGTAGTATATGGTGCAAATAGTGTAATGCATGTGGTAGAAAACACCTTAGGAAAGTATTTCCTGAAAAATTCCACATTATGCGTTTTGGCCTGAAAAAAAAAGTCACCCTTTTGGGTGCTCAGACCCTAAATATCTTATGACCTTTGTCATCAAAGAAAAAATATAACTATATATCTATCTACATATATATATTGTGCCACCCCAGTGGGAGTAATGGTCTCAGCCTGGCTCCTGCCAACATCACTTATATCAAAACATTATTTCCTACATTATATCTAGCAGCTGGTAGCATTTTTAGGATATGTTCTCTCACCCTAGGTATGTGTTATCTGCCTGAAATAATTTAAAAAGAAGAACATTTCCAACATTTTGTGGCAAAATAACTCACGACTACAATATAAATATATTCTTATATTTATATGTACATTTTTCTGTCTAGTATGTGTGTATCTCCATGTGTAATGCTGCTACCAACAATGTGAATTTCTCCACTGTGAGATAAATAAAGGCATATCTCATCTTATAAAGATTGCTAGGTGTCACAAACAGGGCTAAGGCTAGCGGTACATCTGTAGCTGATGAAGCTATAACAAGCAAATAGGGTATAATAGTCATTCAAAGCTATATATTCAAATTTGAAAAACAAAGTTTATAGTAGTTTGCGTAGTTTGACGTAATTTACCTGGCGGCAGCACCGGTAACACGATTCTGTCTGTAGCGGCCGTTAGCAGTGCTAGCTTGTAGCTTCAAAATTAGCTTCAGAAATGCGACCGACTCGTACCAAGTAAGGTTTGGTGTCGTCCTTCGACTTGTTCTTAAATTCGGTCTTTTTGTCATCGTAGTGACCGTTAACGCTGTGTTTTGTTTTGTTTTCAGACAAAGGTGTCAGTTGTGTAGCCTGTCAGCCCGCCGCTCGAAAGCAGTTTAACAGCCCAAATTTACAACCGAAGCGAACTCTGCTTTATTACTACAGTGTGAGACAGCGACACCCTGTGGTCGGCAAACGTAACAGCAGGCATAATACAACAATGACTTATTTTTAAAAATTGTATTACTGCGTAATCGTAAATCATTTTCAACTTATGACAACAGGCAGCATTGAAGAGTGTGTGTATATGTATATATATACGATATTTTATTTATATAATGAGAGGTGGGGTTGAGTGTGCAAACTTGTTACTAACATAAACATACATTTCAAATAAAGGGCACTTCGGACACAGCTGACTGGAACTTTCTTGGCAACAAATACGGTTTTCCACCACCACCACCAACTGCTGAAAATGTGGTCCAGGTAGGAAACTGTTACCGCAACTAGCATGCATGATATGTAATGACAACAGTAGACAAATATAAAGCCAGCAAATGTGTGGCAATTAATTCCAAGTATTTTATTTTCATATATGTTGGTGATCTCTTCTTTTCAGGGGGAGGCAAAATGAAAAAAGAAAGAAAGAAAAAAAGAGACTGGCACCAGAGATGCTAAACAGATGACAGCATGTCGTGAATCCTGACAGAGACAAACGACTATCATTCTGCTGGTGTTAGCCTTCTTTAAATAAACATTAAAAAGTCTCTTGTGTGAGAAAAGTTTATTTTATTTGTTAATATGCTTGGCATGAGGTCATTTGTCTTTTTTTTTCTTCCAAGAGCTGAAACTTCTGATATTTTATCCACGTGTTAAAAAAAACACCTACTTGGACAAAATGAGACAACACAGGATTTAAGCCATTGTAGGAGGGATAACAGGATCATACAAGCCTTAAGTTTACAAATGGACAATAGCTTTTTTGGGGGGGGAAAAAATAATAATTTTCCAACTTTAAAGATTCAGACAAGACTAAATTCACAAGGACCACTTTATTTCTGGGGTTAAGCTCTTTTCATCTCATCACAAATATTATCTAATTTCACCCGAAGTGCCCCAACAGGGATCAATGCCTCCTGACATATTTTATGGAACATACATAGAACATAAATCCAGTTTTTCTTCACCTTTCAAAACTATGTCTGTAGTAAAAACCCATTAGATATTAACTAGGTGTACCACTGTTTTGTCAGTGGATTGTTCTGTTGGTTTGGGGGTAGTCTGCATGACACGGAGACAGTGGGATTACCTATGAGGAAAGGCCTTGATAAAAAAACAAAACAAAAAAAAAACAAAAGAAAAGTATTAAAACTGGAGATGGAAATATACCACTTTACAACAAACTCTAAAAGTTGTGAACTCAGCATGGGCAAACAACCTCAACAAATCTGCATTTAAAGTGGTTCCCCAACATTTTCTTGACACTGTGATGTTTGAGACAACTCGGTGTCAAACTGCAGTAAAGCATTTGTTACCAAAAGAAGGGTTATAGGTTAGAACCAAGCTGTAATTACTCTTTTTCTGATGTTTAAAGAGAAAACTAAGGGCAGCAAATCAAACAGTGGATATGAAAGACAGTTAGTAGTTGTAATCATCAGGCAAACTACAACAGCACTACATTCTTGAACAGAAGAATTTTTTTTTCCTTTTGCATGTGTTGTTTTTTCACAAAGTGGTGAGATCCAGAGGCAGGCAACAGCCCGCAAGACAACAAGCAAAGTTCACTTCGGATGACAATGCAGTATCTTTCTATCAGTAAGGCCACTTTATATAGAAATTCTAAATGAGGACCACAACCTAGCTCTTCTTGTCCATAGATCTTTGCAAAGTGTCATCATCATCATCATCATCATCATCATGAATGGAAAAAACAAAGCTTCAAGTTTCTAAATCAAAGAGCCTGATGGTCAGCTTGTATGAGGGGGGGGTTGGTGTTTGCCCCCTTCACCACCACAGCAAAAAAATGCTCAGTCCATATGGTCACCACCAGCTATGCTGCTGAGGTAGTATCCCCACTCCCGAAGCCCCAACCGCAACTCAAAAACACACCTCAAAATAACCATGTGCGATTGGGTTAGAACCATCTTGCAAAAAAATAGATATTTTCACAGAAGTTTGTAAAATCATCTTGCCTAAAGTCATCTTCGATCCTCTGTGGCTTTATCAAAGCAAGTTGAAGTCCAGAGAGAAGTTGCACCACACAACTGCTGCTCTGAGTATAATCCACAAAGGACAACTACGTTGCCTTTTGTTGCTGCTGCAGTGTTGTACGTTTGGGTGTATTTTGCTAATTCCATTTCAATCATTCCCTCTTTCATCAGCCCCTTCAGATGCAGTCCTTGATGCAGTTTTGCCATCCAAATGTATGTAAAGTCTGATCTATTTAAAGGGAGTGTCGCTGTATGTGCTGCAGTGGTATTACTGTGTATCGGTTTGTGTATTTATGGGGCTGTGTGTTTGTGTGAGTAACCAGTGTGGTGATGGTGGCAGCATGAGCTCTGTCAGGACTGCAGTCCACACAGCTGGAGTTCAGCTTCCTTCAAGGGGCTGGGCAGGACCATGCTGGAGGGGCCAGAGGACGGAGGGAAGCGGCTCTACTTATCCCCCAGGATGGCGTACTGGTTGTCAAGCTGCAAGTGCTGCATAGAAGCGCCGCCAGTCTCCTCTCTGCCACGGTTCCTGTGTTTCACAACCTCAAAGGTCTTCTCCATTTCTCTGTCCCTGAAGCACAAACACAGATTGCATCAGTCAAACTGCAACAACACATGATACTTCCCAAACTAATCTCACTTGAACCCGACTTACTTGCGTGTCTCAACATGCTTGGCGGTGGCCAGCAGAGACGGGAACTGTGCGTCACTGAAGATCTCAGGAGGGCCCTGGGTAGGGCCTCGTCTGGTGGTGGACAGTCGAGCCCCTGGTGGGCGATAAACACCAGCGGGCTTCGCCTCAGGCACCTCTACATCCTCTGTAGCAACACAACATCAATCAGACAAGAACAGACATTTTTGATTCATTAAAACTGCTTTAGGCTATGTACGCGACTGTTTTGTACGAAAACACCAAAGAAATTTAAACATGCATTTTGTGCACTCCCATAATTAAGTAATTATCCAACTTATCAGTTTAAATGACAAAGGTGAGAAGCCATCAAGGGTATTCCATTTTATGTTTCTCTTTTATCATCAAAAGTACAAATACGATGTTCTCTCTTCACACACACACACATTACCAGACTAAAACAAATACCAAAAAACACTAATGACTCTTAACACAGTAATACTCCAGTATTACTAAACTAGCTTTCTCAATAAATACTAAAAATCATTTGTGTTACTCATGTAAAGTGTTCCTTGTATGCATTTTTAACAGATTATAGAGCAACTGTCAGTCGACCGGCGCTGGTTTACTCACCAACAGGTGCAGGAGGAGGAGGTGCAGCACCAGACTTGTTCCAGGGACCAGACACTTTGTCTCCACTGACCAAAATGATCTCTCCATCCTCCCCAACCTCCTCCTTCTCATACTCCTCTTCCTCTTTCTCGTCACTGCAAACAAACAGAAGGCAGGTGAGGAGAGGTGAACATATGCTGAGCTGCACCGGTGCCTCTGGACTGAACAGTGAACATTTTGAGGTGGTGGATATAATCAGCTGCATCACGATCGACTTTCAGGGTTATTTGTAATAAAGGTTAGGAGCTTATGAGTTCCATCTGACAGCTTGCAAGATGGATTTGTAAACCTGTTTCTCCAATTTTCTTTCAGAGAATGTCCTTCTTGTCTCTGCACAATTATGTTGGTAGAAAAAACCAAATGTTTTCTCCTGATTTCCAGGTGCCTACAGAATTCAAGGTGCTTCTGTGTCTCCATCTGTGCCTTTTTATTGATTTTGTTTAGTGAATGATTTAGTATTACTCAAATGCACCTGAATGGCAGCATTCACCGCGATTGCTTTGGAATTTGGGGTTTGGCATTTAGGGCATTTGTTTGTCTGCACAACATTTGCAGGAGGAATTTTATCCAACTTTTTTTTTCCCTTTCAGTTCTGTTTGACAAAGTTTGGTTCGTATAGCAAGTTGTTTTATTGACTTATTACAGCTGACATAATAACACATACGTTTTCACAGTATTTGAATTTTTCCAAAAAATATGACAAGACCTATCATAAAAGTAAAAGACTGTGATCGGTGAAGCGATGCCTGTGCTGGATATGCTTTAATTCCCATATCATCAAAGTCTAATCTGGAGCTAGACTAACTGTATTTGGGGCCACAACTAATGAACATTTTTACTTCTGATTACTTATTTTCTCAATAATTAATTAGTTGTTTGGTCTATAAAATGTCAGAAAACGTTGAGAAATACTTACAACTGTTTCCAAAAACCCAGGATGACATGCTCAAACGTGTTGTTTGGGCCACATCACCAAGATATTGAGCTGATTGTCATAGAGGAAAATATTCACATTTATTTATTTGGCAGGAATCTGAATTTTGCCTCACTTAGATTGGCGGATTATGACAAGAGTTGGCAATTAATTGAACAGTTGACAACTAATCTATTCATCTATTAATCAGTGCAGCTCTAGCTGTAATATTACACCCAGAGGAGATTTTTTATCTTTCACAGATGCTGCTGAAGCACACATCATCCCTGGTGAAAATAAAAAATTTCACTTGCACCAATTCGAAAGGCACCAAACCTACAATGTAAGTGACAAAAAAACACATTTTACTCTCACCTTATCTGTAAAGCTTGAAGCCGAAGCCCGCTGTAATCCACTTCTTTCAGCTCAAACTCTTTCCATTCCTCGTCCTCCTGGGCAGACGGAAGCATTACTAATTGTTCGTAACAGCAAAATTACAATAATAACCTGATAGCTGCCAGTGTCACATGTGTTTCTGGTGAAGGTGAATTTAGTGAGGCTCTCCTTTGGAAATATATATATAATCTGACCATTCTTGCCAATAAAGGGTTTCACAGGCCCCAACATTTTAAGACAACTGCACCCACAGGTGTGACAATTTATTTAACCTTTTACTAGATGACTTAGCTTTCCTTCACTAATCATATATGGATGCTACTTAAAAGCCAAATTCTGATAATCCAGTAAAACCTTGTGACAAATGGCGGCTCGGCCTTGTTGGAACAAGCAAAAAAAGAAAAAAAAAAGGTAACATTTGGGTCTGTAGCTGAGAACACAGACACGACATGGGCTTAGTTAGATGGTCCCCACAAGTACAGGGTGTAACAAAGCACACGAGCACGCGTGTCGTGCCAGATTTGGTGCCCCCGTCAAAATGTGTGCCACTGAGGAGCATATGCTAGCTCCAAACCGGCGTTTCCCCCTCCCATGCTAAAATACACACCCATAATTTTAATTTTGCACTTGACAAAACGCTAGAGAGCCGCTGTCAGCAAGCGGGCAGTATTTTTAGACGTACATATTCAAAATGTGACACGACACCGGTATCTGGTGAAGACGCTAATGAGGCAAAAAGTTCCAGGACAGCAGCGTCGGTTACCTTATCAACCTGCGCGTCCTGATTCTCGTTTTTCGTCGATTTTTCCTTCTCCCTCTTGGTCTTTTTCACCACAGCCGACGTGGGCCCAGCGGTGGACTCCTTCCCCTTCCCCTTCTCTTTCTTCTTCTTTTTATCCCGCTTGGCAAAGAAATCGTCCAGGCTCTTCTCTGTCGGTACATCCGCCATTTTCAAAGAGCTGCGTTAACTGGCGTTAGTTAGCTAGCCGAGCAATGACAAACGTGGGAATCCGCGGTGGCAGAGTGAGGACAGCTGCTGAAACGAGCGGAGGAGATGGAGTTGCTACTAACTCAGACAGTTTAACTTCTGCTGAAGGCTGATAAAATTGTCCAACCTGGTTCCCTGCCTGAATCGTTAGCTACCCTGTCAACCATGCCATGCACGGGCTATTTGACAAATCTGCACCGTCACCCGGAATCACCCTGGCGCTGACCCGGACATGGTTCGGGCTAACAAAATAACTAACTAAATAAAATAAAAAATTCCAAAAAGTCTAAAAATTTGCAAAAGAAATAACTTATATTTTTTGTATTTCAGTTTCTAAAAGTCGTAAATGAATAATAAAAATTGTAACTTTAAATATCAAAGTACTATTTATTTATGTTTTATCACTGTTTTCCAGACAGTACTAGCGAGGATGTTACAAGGTAAAAGTACGTCAGAAATATATATATATATATATATATATACAACTTAAATCAGCCATATTTTTTATATTTCATTATTAAGTACTCTTGAATTTCAAAATAATATATATATATATAATCCTATTTATTTCGGTTTTTATTAATTTAATAATTTAGTTGTTTATGAGTAATCTGAATATTTAAGATATTAAGCCGACTTACTGGCTAGAAAATGATATCTTAAAAAAAATGTAATTTATTATTATTATTTAAACAAATAGAAATGTACACATGTTCAAATAAATATTAGTGTACTGACCAAATGTAGACGATTAATTTGATCACGATAGAGTACAACTTTTTTGTTATTGTAAACTAAAATCTTGAAAAGACCCTTTTCAAGTCATTTTGATCAACACAAACTTGTTACTGTTATTTGAAATATTTATTTTTTCAGTTGATTTTGTTCTAACTTTAACTGCGACATACGTAAAAGTTCTTTTTTTTTTTTTTTTTTTTTTAAAGTTTGATTATTGCCAATTAATTGTGATTTAAAAAGCCCAGAACAAATCACAACTTTATTATCACTGATATTTAAAATCCTGACATGAAAATCACCAGCCAGCAATAATGCTCACCATCAGTGGTGAGGAAGTTAGCAGGCTAATGTAGCATAATGTTTTCAGCCTAATATAATGTCAGTAGTGAGCATTTTAGACAGATAGTAATATAGGTTTACTACTGGTTAGCTATTGTGTGGTTGTAGATGATGATTTACATAATTTATCACAATTCCAGTCTGGAGTATTGAAAATCATTAATGTTCATGGGAGCCTTCTTACCTCATATCAACAACACATCTCTGAAAAGCCTTATTCTTTCACATAATATAAAAATATTTAAAAGATAGCTGTCATTTTAAGTTAAGATAATGGATAATGGATTGATGATGGATACCACCCAATAAGACTTTAACACAACATTTAAAAACTGTTTGTATGTGTATATTGTTTTCAAAAAAACAACAGAGGCTTATTTTGTACTGCCAAAATATTATATCAACATACCTTAGAACCACTTATTTTGATTTGTTACCACCTATAAAAAGCTTTCAGTGCTATTTAAAGATTAGCAAGGCTGCTACAATCCAAGAAAACACCTGAAATGAAAACTGACTTTATCTAGTTGTCAGGGGGGAAATTATGTTTACCCCTTTACATAATCCATATTGGAATAGATGCATAATGTGGATGGAAAAATACAATCAGGGATATACAAAATCTTTAGTCAGAGGTTTCCGACAAGAAAATCTGATAGATTTCCAGCATATTATGACTTTTTTTTGTAAACTGAGCAACAAGTATTTGAAGGTTAACAGAGTAAACAGTAGCTTCAAAACAGTGAGAGGTCAGATCTTTACAATAAACTATATTGAAAGAATAGTTGAGAAACTTCTTCTTAGTTGTTTACTAAAGGTGCAAGCGACATCACTGTCTATTCATTTAGTTTTATGGTACTTATCAGGGTAGGTTTTATGTGATATGTTAAAAAGTACTTCTGTAGCCTTGTTTGAAATACAATATTAGAAAGTAAAAGTCAGGCCTTTCTCCAGTTATGTTTCTAATTGTTGTTTGGTTGAATGCAAATGACATCAGGAAGTCATTTAAAATAATATGTCATACATTTTGATTTTGTTAGCTTTTTTTAAAATTTGTAGTTTATGTATTTGTCGTTTCCGGGCAAAATTCATCCTTCCATGTTAACATGTATGTGATCAGAACACAAAGTGGAATGACCTATATTATGTAACTAGTATATATGATTGATTTCACATTACGAATTCATTTAGTTTTTCTAAATTTTAAAGGCTTGAACTGTCACATGGATATTAAGAAGAATTTTTCCAGATCTTATGGTTCAAATAATCTTCTCAAGGTAGAAGCAATGTTGGTTTTGTAACACTAATATGATCATGGCTAGTTAGTTAAGCAAAAAAAAAAAAAATCTAGGTTGTTTACAAAGGAGGGTAAATCAGAAGGTCTACTAAAATGTGTTTAAAACACAAACAACCTTCTTATTTGTCCAAATAAATCCTCCATAAATACATTTTTTGCTAGGAAAACTTTCATTGCTTGCAATACACCTACTTTAAAATGCATTTGGGCCAAACTAGCTAAACATGTGTCCATTTATTCATCTCTAAAGATTTTGAAATAGACGTAAAAAGGTGGTCCAGCGTTTAAGCCAACATGTTTTACAGAAGTAAACAGGTCTACAAACCTGTAATAACCCTCATTTCAGAATTAAGCCTGTCCTCAGCAGGAAAGCAGGCTTGTAAACAGATTATCGAACTGACGTCAGTTTCCCAAAGCCAGTGGTCATTTGACCAGTTGTTGCACTGGCGCACAAAGAGAAAATTCCAGCTCACCGCATCAATGGATGTGTTGTGGTCGGCAAGAGTGCTTCCACTGCTTTGTTACATAGTAAACCAGCAGTAGGTTATCTGACACACACATGTCCAGTACTTGAAAATTGTCCAAAACCCATCCAACATGGAAAAATACAAAATAATGTCTGTTGTTTAAACGTCGAGAGTAAATCAGGCAAACAGAGCGATCCACGTCTTTTCTTTGTTTTATTGCTCAGCAGTAAAAAGTACAGTGTATACTACAGTACAAAAAATACATAATGTTGAACACTGCTCCACCGTGCCACTGAACGTTTTGTAAAATATCCACTTTTTTGAGCGTGCAAAACAACAAGCCCAGCTGTGAGCATCCGATGCAGGAAATATCAATATGTTTAACTGCGTTATTCAACATCACCTTTTTTTCACTCAGTGATTTCAGAACAACATCTCACAATGCAGGAAATCTTTAGCGACGACAGAGGCAGGCAGCATTGATTACTGAATAAAACTGCAGCAATGCAAAGTAAAACAGATGACAGAAGGACCACAGGTTCAAAAACGCAACGGAACATTCAAATGTTCGATTAAACCGCCTCTGTGTGTGCTCACAGTAAATATTCATCATACATTATTTGTCTCGCTGTTTTTCTTGGTTTAAGGTCTCTTAACACGTATTCAGTGGTCCAGCAACTAATTCACAATCATTCAGCAGTTCAACAAACACATGGACAAACACATTTTGTTTATGGAGGGAGACACTTACAGTAGCAAGGTTGGTCTAATTGTTTCCTACAGCGGTGAGAAACTCTTTTTTTTTTTCCTCACACTGGGACAAAACCAGTAGCCACTCCACGATATAGACAAGTGACAGACACACACAGAGGCACACACAGGGACAGACGCACACACAGAAACAGATAAAACTGAGCCGAAAGTGATACTAAGTCTGTTTTGACTTAAAATAACCGTGAGATTTGGCTAAGGGGGGTGGGGCGACATATCTGTTCACACGCACGCTTCAGTGCACGTTTACATGCACGAACTGGGCATTCTCACACACATACTGATATATAAAGGGCCAACATAAGGAGTTAAGACATCTATGTGGTCCCTCTTCAGAGAAGCTGGTGACACATGAGGGGGAAAAGCCATTTTATTTGACTAACATCTGAAAATCACTCAAATAATCTGCTCAAACTGACCAATAAAACCTGGGCCCGTATTTATCAAACTGCTGAAAGATAAAAAACCCTTATGGGATTCACTTTTACTAATCGTCAAACATGTTTTAAAGCTAAAAACAAACAGGTATTTCAGAGAGCTTTCATACATACATACATTCTCGATGACTACAGCAGCTGAAGCGTGATGTATTTGCGTATGTAAAAGCATATAATTAACATCTAACAGGATGTTACACTCCGTTTTCTTTCTTCTCTCTGCATTAGTCATGGGTAAAAACAACAACAAAGTATTTGGAATCATTTTCTCTACATTTTTAATGCACTTGTCAAAGAGTTATATATTATTAAATCATTTCTAGAATGTAGCTCATCTACCAGCAGCAAGGTTTCTTTCCTTTTCTGTGTTGGTTATGTTTTTGTTTAGATTTCATCCAATTTCCTATTGTTTAATCCCTATATATAAGTTAATATTTATTTTTTACGCACGTTTTCTTAATGTTTGAGTTCACGTTTTTATGATTGTTATATTCAATTTTGCATCAGTACTTTTTTTTGTTTACTTATTTATCACTTAAAGCATTTTTCATGTGAAAGAAAGTGATTTTATGAGGAGAACATTAAAAATTTTAGGAAAAATTAATGATATATTCTTAATATATTGGATATGTAGTGTTCATTTTGCAGCTTAACTGCAAAAAAGATTGTTCAGACAGAAAATTAACTTTTTACATAATAGCATCACACTGAGTAACATGTCGAATAAACTCTTACTATTTAAAGGTGGGTCTTTAAATCTCTCTTTACTTTCAGTTAATTAGTTTTTGGAGGATTCTTATATATATTTGTTTTCTTAGAAGTTCGATAAATACGGGCCCTGATTTCACATCCAGCATTTATTCCACATCTCCTCTGTTTTCCCCCCAACTATGTAGGTGCTATATTCAAGTTCAACAGGCTATAAGTATTTTGGGATTGATTTTTAAAAGTAAAATAAAATTACAAAGAACAGCTTAAATGTCTTCATAGCACATTTTTCTCTCTCTAAAGCAGATTTCATGTGGCCACATCCGCAGTGCACTCACCATCAAGCCACTGTAATGAAACAAAACCACATATACTCTGTATTTTATAAAGACAATAAAAACCTTTATCACAATTAAGCCTTTTTGTAGAAAATGTACATCAGAAAAATATGCAGGTGCATCCTCATAGTAAATAGTGTCTGTTTACATCGCTCTTCTCTCAGGTTGCTCTTTGTGTTTGTAATATACAGTATAAAGTCAAAAGTCTCTGAATATTTACCACATATATAAAATAGACAACAACAGCAGGGGGAGTAAAGGAGGAGAATCCAGCAGCGCCTCTCTCTCTCTTTTTTTTTTTCTGTCTCTATATGGCAGAAGCTTTGTCTCTGTTGATGAAGAGGGTCTCCTGGCAGAAGGGGTTAACCAGGACCACGCTGCTGCCGCTGTAGTCTCCATTAGGGGGTAGGCAGGTGTCATGCTCCTGCAAGTGCACATACAGAAGAAAAATTAGCACACAACTGCGAAACAATAGCCGTATTTCATGATTCACGCTTCGGGGCTCAGCATTAAAGCACACGCTGCAGTCTACTGTATCTAAGTCACTCTACAAGCGATGAGCAGACAGTTTAGTGTGGAAGCGAACGGAATAAAATATGGGCTCGGTGCACCCCAGGGCTTTTAGGGAGGCGGCGAACAAAGATATCTGACAAAGCTAGATGAACAGATACAAAGGGAGGTGGAGGGGAAGATGTAAAAGCTTCACGAGCGGGGAAACAAAAGGTAGAGACAACTCAGAAGAAGGCAGCACAGGGACTTAATAGAGGGAAGGTGGGGTGGAGGGTGGGGGGGTGAGTTGATGTAGAAACGGTTGTTGATGGTGAGTCAGCAGCAGTGAGGTGGAGGAGGGAGGTGCGAAAAACAAAATGATTTGTTTTACAGCAGGGAAGAGGCCATTTCATCAGCGAGATCCAATCAAAATCGAACTAACACGGGCCGTCATTTAGGTTTATGGTGATCATTTCTCCTGGAGCATTTACTTATATCTCTGGGGGGGGAGCTACGGTAGAAGGCTTCTGCTCTACAGAGACAAGTAAAGCAGGAGGAGGGTGAGGCGGGGGTGGAAGGGAAACAACACCTGGGTGTCACCAAGGGCATCCTACACATGATCCGACCTCAGCCTCCTTCTCCTGACAACCCCACAGACGAATGCAAATTGAGCAACGGCGGAGAAATAACAGCAAGGAGACAATGAAATGGTCACTGGAGAGAAGATAATAAGCAAAAACATGCAAACAGAGCAAGCAATGGCACATAAAAATGATGTGGTGAAGTGGAGGGAGGGAGATTTGCAGATTTAATTCATAATATATTTACTGTACCACTGTTATGTGCTATTATTTCCAACAGATGGCGCTGCAATGCACCGAAAAACTAGGATGCTACACATTCTAGTCTCCAGATAGGATTCACTGTCACAAGTATAGCAACTTTTAGCCAAAGTGAGTCCAAATGCAACCCCATTAAGCCTTTATTTTACCAATTGACATCAAACACAAACCACCTCAGAGTAAGTCTTTTTTAAATAACCCACTTATCACGATGAATTTTGAGGAAATGTGCATAAAATGAAAGAAATGTAGACTATTTCCAACTGACGGACGCAACATAATAATATAAGACAGAGTTAATAAGATGATCTGAACAATCCTAAAGCTCCTTACTGGACAAAATAATAGGAGGGGAAACTGTTAAAGGATTAAGCTCTGAAGTAATAATTAGAAACGGTGCCAATTAGCAGAATTTTGATGGTTCAGAAGATTTCTATGAGAGTTCAAAGCATAACGAGAATCAAAGGGTTCCTTTATGAGGCCAAATTATTGGAAGTTTAGGTTGAAAAATGAAATTTGTTTGGAGCAAAACATCCCGTCAACAACCACGAGGCTATAACAAACACAAACAAATTGTGGATACAGATACACATAAATCATACAATATGAAAATGTAGACACGTCATTGTGTGCTCGTTTATAAACTGGCACTTGATCCTTTGCACACAGATTTATAAAGACATTACTGGAGAGCAGCATTTATGGGCCTTTTGTGATTTTGAGGATGAATTGTGTTGAAGTTCTGCATGCAAAGAAACTTTAAAAATCGGATATTTAAAAAAAAAAACAACACTTGTTTGTGTTTGTGTTGACTTGGAAATACTCAGTGTCCTTTATATTGTGATAATTAAACTTTGAAACTCTGTTATATTGCTTTTGATACAGAGGTCATTTGGTGCAGGACACTTAAAGTCATCAATCAAAGTAGTTTGATAACTTTTGCTGGTCTACAATCTAATACGATCCACTCGAGAAGGAGTGTTTGCATGTATTTTTGTTTCTAGACACCCTCAGGAGAGCATTAGTGACAAATTAATTTATAATTTATTAATAATGACACATCAACCCAATAATGTATTACCACATTATCCTAGATGTAGCTGCTGCTATTCTCTAAATTTTAATCCGAGATAATATTCAATGTGAAAAACCGTCTAAGAATGAGTGCTTTCGCAGATTCCCTGCAGGGTAAAAAAAATAAAAAAAATCTCTCTTTGCTTGTTTCTAAATAGCGTCCCCATAAATCGCAGTAATACAGCGTCATGCTCAAGTGCGCCTCAGCAGGCCTCGGGGCTTGCTGACAGGGGAGATTGGACATGGATCCTCTTGTTGTTTCCATACTCATTAAAAGCATTTTGCTGACTGATCGTGAAGCATCAAGTAAATGTCCTAACCACTTTAGTGTGCGCGGTGCCAGACAGTAATAGAGCCATAGCGGCGGCGTGTCAGTAGTTTGTACCTCACTCTCCAGAGTGTGTATCTCTCTGGGCAGCTCCACGGCGTGCCGGCTGAAGTAGTCCATGGTGATGGCGTTGTTCCAGTAACTGAGGTTGTTCTCCTGACTTGACGACTTCTTCTTCCTCCTCATGCAGCACACAGTCAACAGCACGGCTACAGAAGGCAGAGGCAGCAGAGGAGAAAGGACGGTTAGTGCAGGAGCTGGAATAGCTTCAAATAGCCTCTGAAAGCTCCCACACTTGCTGCTCAGGTGGAGGCTGTCATGTTTCAGGACAGCAAGCCACTGTTAGAATAAACTGTGCTTGAAAAGGGAAAAAAAAAAAAAAAATCCACTTTAAAATACAGTCAGAAGCTGCCGCCGGTTGTGTGTCGTGTAGTCATTTTGAGCTGTCAGTCTCTTCGTAATAAATGGTACAAATAGGGTTTAAGGAGTCCAAAAATGTATTAAAAATGTATAAGTGAAGAGATTCTTTTTTTTTTTTCTCCAGCAGACCAAAATGCAAAAAACTGTACTTCGCCTTAGGTGCAATGACTACTCCTCGACGAAAACTCGACTCTCTCCAAATTAATCCAGCAAGATTAGGCCCTGAGGGGTTTCTGGGGGCTGTCAGGAGGGATTCTGGGAAATTTAGGAGATCACTAACTGAGGCAAATGTACTAGTAGAACAGGAAGGTTAGAAAAGAAGATAAAATCAAACCAACTCCTGGAATAATATACAGTTGTGATATGCGAAATGCATGATATAATATATAATAATGTGATCAAGAGTGAAAGTTAGTCTGCTTTTTGTTTTGTCAAGAGTTGCCACATCTGTCTGTTAAATATGAATCTATATCCATCAGCCAATCAGCTTAGCTTAGTATAAAAATGGGAAAAAAAACTGTCTAAAGGTGACACATTCCACATCCAAGGACCGAACAAGGTCACTAATTAGCACCTTGTTTGTTTAACCCTCACAAGAAAGTTTAAAAAGATAAGCTGGGTTATATGCTACTATTAACTGTGTTGATTTCCTAATCAGGCTTGACGCTTTCCCTCAATTTTCCTTATTTTCAGTCTTAATGCTAAGCTATGCTAACTGTCTGCTGGCTGTAGCTTAATATTTATTGTACAGATGTAAAAGCAGTATTCATTTTCTCATCTAACTTTGTCAGACTCTATAAATGTGCAATTATTTCTTTAAATTACAGATAGATTGATAAGATAGATTAGAGATATAGATATTATTCAACGTTTTTGTTGCGAAAACTTCTGTAATAAAAAGAAATCTCTGCTTTAACAAACAAATCCATGTAAAATTTCAGAACCAACACATCTCGTTCTGCTAAATAATATCTCATTTTAGAAATATTTTAAAGTATGAAACTTGATTGTAATAGTTTAATCTATTAATAAAAGGAAATATTTATGAAATTAGGCTAAATTTACAATTATATTTTTTATGACAGAGAATCTTAATATCCCTTACAAAATCTGTTTATTCACAGGCACATTGTTTTTAATGTTATTTTACATTATATGTGCAAATTTTGATCTATTTTTTGTAATTTTATTATTACATGTAGTATTGTATTATTATTTACATGTAGTTCAAAAATATGGGGAAGAAAAAGATAAATAAATTGAAATAAATACATAAAATTTACATATTTATATAGTCATAATTTCCACTCTGCTCTGATTTTACTTACAGCACGAAGACACCGGCACGCTGATGGCCAGCACGATCCACACGATGTCCATCCTGCTCAAGCAGATGGTCATGCGCGACGGCGGGGAGTCGACGGTGGGGCCCGAGTTGTTGCCGGGCGTCCAGGGGTCGTGCGTGGTGGCCGGAACCTGCCTGTTCAAGAAGTTCCCGCTGGCGGTGGAGGGGGGCTCGGAGCTGTTCCCCTGAGCGGGCGAATCCTCGACCGAGCTGCTGTTGGAGGGCAGCCCTCCGAACGCCGTTACATTCCCCAGGAAGTGTCCCACAGGGGGGCTGTCTGTGCCGTTGCCTCGAACCACTTGACCTTCCTCAGTGCTGGTCCCGTTGGTTGCAGTGCGGTTGACTGGGATGCCTGTCGGGTTCTGTGATTTGAGGCTCGGCTCTGTGGACTGGGCCGGGCTGGACGCAGTGGAGGTTAGATTCTCTGGTGGGATCTCAGCTGGACTGACAGATGCCCCCTTTGGCTCCACCACCAGCTCAGCAGTGGGGGGTTCGTTCACTCCGTGCACCTCCCGCAGGGTGATGGTGTGGTGGGCGGGGAGCTCTGGGGATCCTGCGGCATGCTCCCTGAGTTTCAGGCCTCGTGCGGCATCGGCGTCCGCTGAGGAAGAGGAGAGGGAGGTCAGGGAGGAAGGCTGCCGAGCTGGAAGCTGCCTGGGGTCGGTGGGTTCCTCCACGCTCAGCTTCTGAGGCTCTATGTGGTGTGCATCGAGTGTATCCCCTCTGTCCGGTCCAGAGTTGGACGCAAGAGTCAGGGGGTTTGGAGCTCCTCTCGCAGCAGATTCCGCATCTATATTTGGGAACGCTGTGCTGGAAAATTCAGGGCTGCTGCTGCTGCTGGCCTGGTTAGTGCTGACAGTAACTGGGTTATGGACTTGAGGTACCCTGACCAATTTGTGCATGAGGCCTTGGTTTACAGTATCAGAGTTGGGCAGATTCACTCGGCTGTCAGTGCTCACAGTGTTTGGGATGACAGTGTTTGCGTCGTAGATGGGAGGATCCTCGCGGCTGGAAGTTTGGGTGGTGCGAAGCGAGGCTAAAGGAGGGAGGGCAGCAGTAGGAAGGATGATGTTTGCGGGTTGCGTGCTTTTGGATGGCCATTCCCCGCTACTGGAGCCTTCTTGATGCCATTCCAGTCGGGGAGGTTTGGGGGGAGACAGGGGGCTGTTGTGGGTGGCTGCCATGGAGACAGAGTCCTGGGACGTCTGGCTGAGGTACAGCTCCTGTGCTGATGACACCAGGCCTACTGGCAGTGCTAGGAATGCTAGAACACCTGCAGAAGAACCAAGAGAAATCTGAGTATTAGCACAAGATACTCCAGCATACCCATTCAGCTTCGTAACATGCTGGATCATTTCATATAAATGTGTATTTTTACCATGTCTGTCTGCCTACACATCATTCCCTCAAGCCTCCTGCTTTGCAAAGCCAGACGAGAGCAGCTGAAATTGACTGCTCAGATGTTCAGAGGAGACGTGCAGCCTTGTCCTGCATTCATTATGCTTCTCAGCCTTTAATCTACTGAACCGCTGTGTTTGTCACTCACCTAGTTTAACTAGATTGCTTTATTAACTGCATTATTCACTAGACGAGTTCCACAGTGTGTAACCGTGCATGCATAAGGTGGCAGCTGGGACTGAGAGGACGTCTGTCTTTGGACGCAGACTTCAAACGCAGCAGCAGCGGTTTTGTTATTGTGCAGAAAGAGCCTCAGAAATGCTTATAGAGCTCTCAGCTGAAGTGATCAAATAGCAAGCAATTCTTTGATTGCATTCTCCAGATAGCATTGCAAGAAAGTAACATTTTAACCAATGCAGTTTCAATAGATTTGCTCATTTTTAGTGTTAAGGTGTCTTTTGTCAAAATAAGATCATGTCAATAGACCCTACAACCCAATCTGAAGCATTTGAAGGTGGTGAAATCTATTTCTTTGCCAGACAAAATGACTTGTAAAGACATTTTTACAATGAACAGATGGATTGATGACAGTCTTAGTGTCAAAATGGCCTACTTAACATGCTAAAACCATCTTCGAGAGCCTGACAGATTCGCTTTCTCAAGCTGAATCCCTTAAGGAGGCTGTGTGGTGACAAGCCATTAGCAGGTGCCTGTGAGGAATATTGGTCCTATTATGGTATCCAGACAGCAAGAAAGTCATGGACCGAGGAACGTGGAAGGGCGTATTAATTTCCCCTTTGCTCCCTCCTCTTCATCCCGTATTGACACTGTTTAACACAGTTAATGTGACACATTAGCGGCGCTCCCACTGGGTGGTTTCCATGCGTTCGGCTCAGAGCAGCACATGCATAAATGCAAAGCTAACATCATCTAAATTCCTGTCTGAATGAGGCCGTGGTTTGTTTTTGTCACAGGATGCTGAATGAAAGCATTAAGTTATCTCGACACATCCAGTATTTCATATTTAATGGGCTAAAGACTGGTACTATTCTATCCTAAACGTGGGATTCCTACCTGGGTTAAACAATTAATCAAAATATTACTGAAATCACTGTGCGGCAGCCACAATATCCAAATCACAGGAGCTGCTGGTTTCAGATAAAATGTGTCACAAAATAAATATTAATTGAAGTGCTGCGCATGCCTCGACCTACAAATCAGGACTCATATCTGTCAAAAAATGATCTCAGTCTGATTTTTTTGGCATATTTTTCACCTCTAATTCCTAGTAAAGATGAAAGAACTGCACCAATTTTAGAAATAGTGCATTCGTTGGGGACTATTTTCAGCTGTGCAGTTCTACATATTTGGTTTGCTACTGAGCGTTTACAGCTGCAGGGTGCTGTATGTTGTATTGACTTAAAATAAACTACAGTTTGTGCGATCATAGTAATAAAGGAGTTTGTCACCCAGCGCAACACTGCGACTCTCTGATATGTTTTTATTAGTTTTTGGACAACAATGCAGCGCTGTGGTACAGAGGAAGGAGCTATATCAGGCTTTGGTGGGATCAGTTCATATTTGGCTTTGGCTCTTTAATAGGATTTGTCGACAATAAGAAAAATGTAGAATATTTCGAGCCTTATCCTTTCATAACGGTCTGTGAAAGAATGCTTATATTAATCTGCGAGGATTCAAAGTCATTTATCAAACTGTGGCGAGTCAGATTAGAAAAAAATCCTTTTTCAAATGTAATATGCAATAAAATGAAACGATATATGCATATCCACTATACCGCGGCTTTGTGGTCAGACACAACAGATTTATAAAGAACCGGATTTAGCTTTTGTTTATCATTATCCTTATTTATACGAGGAATAGGAAAACAAATCTAAAGTAGCCGCTGCTGCCTTCTGTGCATTATTTGAGAAGTGATGATGCAAAAAACTCCGGAATATGTTCTTCATCAAGAAAGTTTGATTTTTTTACTCATTTAAAGTGAGTGAAGTTTCTAATATTGAGCTGCAACGCTTCGGTGACGATGGCCAGAACCACATTCAGGCTGGTATCTTTATTAAAATGATGAATCATCCATCATTTTAGCCCAATTTTATGCACAATGATGAAGATGGAGAAAAATAGAAAATGTTTGGCAAAAAAAAAAAAAGGCACATTGTCAATATTTCAGCTTCCTCCTAAAATTTAGCAAATCATGTCTCATTAAGAGGAGCCCCTGCTGGCTCTCCTGCAGTTTGCACCTCGATGCTGCCACACAAATGTGACTGCAGTATGCACATGGATGAGTATCTTCCTTGTGACAAAGAAAATCTCAAAAAATGACACTGACATGGAAGACTAATGTGAAAAACTATATATGTATGAACAAGCGGAGGTGGGTTTCTATTATCTGTCTGCAATGTCAAGCTTTTGATGAAAGAATAAAGGGTAGTGATTAAGGCTCCATTATTCTGACATTCATAAAAACCCTTCAAAACAAGAGCCATAGGAAACCCAGAGCTCCAAGCCACCGACCTAGATGTTATGACCATCACTTGACTATGGTGCTCCCTCAGTAACTATGGAAACCAAGTTTTCATTTCCAAGAGGGGCAGAGGAGAACAAGAAGGGAGAGGAGGTGAGGGGAGATTGGAAAAGTAGAAAGAGAAATAGATAAACAACTAAAAACTACAATTCATTTTCAAAACAAAGTCCTATCAGTAATATCTCATTTCTTTTCCACAGGAGCCTCCCCCCCGTCCTTTCCTCTTTGTTCACAGAGGGATTTAAAATACAGCCGAACCCCAAAGCACTGACTATTTAAACTCGGCCTCTGAATCATTAATCATACTCCTCCATACTCAATCACACAGACTTCTAGGATAGAGGGTCTGGGCCTTGTCTTCCATTAACCAAGTCCATCACGTCTCTGATCCACAGAGCCCACTTCAGACCATATCTGAGGCGGCGACTCACACGGCTGTCGTTGATTTACGATCACTCATTCTTTCCTTAAATGATCCTTTAGGCAGGAGGATGAAACACAGAATAAAAAAACCAACAACCTATCAACAGAAAGGGGCTTTTATTGATTCTACGTGTTGTGGATCACGGTAACATTTGGACAAACTTAGAGGACAAAATCTGATTAAGTAAAAAATGGCAATATACTGGCACACGGGGCACAAAAAAAATTTAAACATTGTAATTTTCCAGACTTTAAATAAATTTTCTAGTCGAATTTTACACAAGACTGTACATTTTTTGCGTGTCTTTTTAATGTTTAGTGAAGGATATTTACATGTGTAAAACAACAAAATGACACACAATTAGATTAATTAGTATAGAACAGTATTTTGACAAACTACCAATGCTTTTAGATATTATACACCAATGAAAACACATTATTAATCATTTTTGTTGTAAAAAAAATTCTGTAATATAAAAGAAATTTCTCCTTCAACAAAGAAATTTATGGGAAATCACAGAAACAATATTTCTTTTCTTTAATTGTCAAATAATATCTCATTTTTAGAAATAAATGTACAATATTAAGTTTGAATTTAATAGTTTTAGCTATTAAATAAAATTTATTTATGAAAACATGCTAAATTTACAAATATATTTTGTTTTATGTCACACAATGTCTATTTCCCTATTTTATTGTTTCTAGAAAGTGTCACATTGTTAATGTTATTTACATTTTGTGTGTATTTCAAAAATATGGTAAAAACTCTGCAGACTTAGACTTAGACTGATTTTATTATAAATAAATAAAATAAGTAGGACAAATTACAGATTTACAGATGTTTTTTTTAGTGTAGAATTGGAAGGCCTTAGATTTATTATATGGAGCTTTATAGGTGCATACATCATAGAGCAACAATTGTGCTTTTTAATGCTAAAAAACAAACAAACAAAAAAAAAAAAACAGATGAACGAGATAATAGAGGGCGATTAGGAGGGAGGATGTTTGTCATGATGAGGTCTGGCTTGAGTCATGCCTTCAATCAGTACCCAAACCTGGCTGTCACAACCTGGCAACCCGACACTCGGCGGCTATTGAATAAAACATGCCATCCAGACTGCCTTTCCAAACGATGTTATTTTAGAAATGGCCAGACTAAATGCTCTGGCACGCATTCTCCTGATTTGCTCAGGTGATGAGAAACCGTGCATAAATGTGTGGTTTCACTTTGACCTGTACACAACATGGAAATTAATATTCATGCAAATCATATGTTATTAAAGATGGCACCTGAAATGTTAAAGGGGAGAAGCTGCTTTTTAAGTTAGCAGGCGCAGACATCTGACTGCCCATATATTCATTACTGCTGAGGACAAAGTGCGGTCCTTTAGATTGTGTATCAGATGCTGTGCTGGCTTCTCGTGTTAATTAGTTTAGAGTTGATGAGCGAGACTCCTCGTTTGACTTCAGCAGGAATCCCACTACCTCATTATAACGAGGCGACACGCAGGTTTCCAAACAAATTATCAGTGAGCTGTGCACACATATGAAAATGATAGTAATTGACAGCTTATGATGAAATCAACATGTTGTTGTTGTTTTAGTTCCTTTAACTAATTAAAGTAATAAGTGGACAATGTTTATCTCGAGAGGGATCCCAATTGGCTAGTGGAGTGTGCAGAATTATTGGCAAACAGCAGCACAATCAGAGTCCTGGGTGGTGATGGATAGTTTGTCACAGAACAAGGAAGACAAACCTGTTTAAGTTTGATAAGTTGTGTACAGATACGTGACTAATTAAAAGAAAATGAAAACAATCAAGAGAAAAATTGAAACCTTGACCCTTACAATTTGGGTACACTTGTTACTTTAGAGGGAAGAATCACTGAAAATCAATACAAAGCTGTTCT